CTGTAATCACAGATTTGAGGATTTATTTTTCTTGTAGAAGACCCTCTGCCATTTTTCTGTGAGTTTCCTATCAAAGCATTAGCAATGACAATGTGTTTCACTAAGTTTATTATTAAATTAATGGCTCATAGTTACAGCTGCTTTTCTTTTTAATTTCATAACTATGCAGAAGGGGTAAGAATGATAAAAATGTTGTCATATATTTACTACCAGGGCAGTACCAGTCAGTTATTGCACACAAGACTTCTAAGGTATGAGATGAGGTAAACCTGTAGAATAATTGATACAGTAATCAGAAAAGCTTAGATCAATAAAATCCAGGTGAAGAAGGATCTTTTCCTAACTGCTGCAAGCCTGATTCTCCCCAGTCTAGCATTTTTCATCTGTGTGAAATGGCAGTAAAGTGAATGGAGAATTCTGATCTGGCAGGATTCTACTCTTGGCTCAGGCTCAGATGTGAATGACATAAACTATGCCATCAGATAAAAGTCTTTCTTTGGTTCATGTAAGTATAGAAAGTAAATAATTGTAGAATGGCTTGTTTATATCTTGCAAATAAGCATATTTACTGAGGGGCATTCTGTATTTGCTGCAGCATTTTATATTATGTCAACATCAGCATTCCAGCATGATGAGGACTTCTTAGCACTGCAAATGCTGTGCAGATATTCCAGCATCTGCATGGTGGTACCTGGTATCCAACACAAAGTATCTGATCATTTAAAAATACATTTACTGACCCAGTAATAGCTTTTTTTTTAAAACATGAGGCTATTCACTTTAGCCTCTAAGGTAAAAAAAGTTAACTGCTGACTTTAAGGGGCATTGGCATCTTTGTTGTTTGCATTTGCTGCACATTTTTATGATCCTGTACAATGCTGTTTGCCTGTGCAGGGATGCCACTAGGAAACAAGAATGCACAACTTGACAGAACGAAAGCAACACTCCAAATAAATATCCTGTGTCCTCTGCAGCAGCTTTGTTGAAAGAGCTCTGACATCATGGTGTTGTATCAGAAGAGCTACTAATATCAGATACCAGAGATTTCTGTGCTAGGGGCAGGAACGCTGCACACATGGAGGTCATTCAGTATCCTCGAGCACTTGGACAAGTGTGTCATTTTGGGCTGTCCCTGCTAATGGCAGAATGCAGTGCTACTGCTAAAAATTGCTTTTTCAGAGCTCCTTGTGCAGGTAACCTGCAGTGTCTGTACAGAGGAGCTCGATGATTTTCATGCTTTGCAAAACCAACAATATTTATAGGAAGCAAAAGTCATACTCTGGGTTTTAGTGGGAAATGCAGGAGCCTTGGAGGTATTACAAATGGAAGTTGTGGGGTTTTTTGTTTTTTAAGGTATTTAATCCTCTTCAGGAATACAGGATTGCTTTCTAGACCTTTTGCCTCCCCCTGCCAACAAGGAGCTGCCGTGTTAGGCCGGGCAGAGCTCTGTTGGGCAGAGCTGCCAGGTGATGGGACCACAGCAGTGCCAGAGGCCACACAAAGAGCCCATGTGTCTCTTTAGATGGTCCTTGGGTGGGAGAATTGCAGGAAGAGGTACAGTAGTTTAACTGAGATCAGAAGGATGCTGAATTTTGCTATTTTCATGTGTCATGAGGTGGCACATAGGAAGAATCCATTTCCTTGGCAACAATCCTCGAGCCATAAGGTTGAACCTGTTTACTCAGGCACAGAGCCATTCTGTCAGATGGGCATTAATACACCAATTGTAGAGAGCCTGTGTTGTATGTGCATCAGGTGTGAGTGTCCTAGATAGGATTCCCAGCAAGGATTGTCCATATGGCTGTTCATTCTAATTTTATATTCCCTTGTACCATTACTAATCCAGGTATGGGTCTGATTACGTTTCAGAAACAGGGAACAGCTTTTTCCTCCTTTCATAAGTCCTCTTGCCCACTTGCATAACACAGATTGGAGTGATGGTTTAGAACAGGTTTTTGGAAGATAAACTTTTCTCCCTGGCCTTACCAGACCTCTTCCTTCTGCATTCAGAGAAATAAGAGCTTTATAAATCTTTTCCCTTTTTAAGTAAAGTCCCTGTAGGCTCCATCCAAGTAAATCTTTGGCACCAAGCTGGATTTCAGATGCACTGCAGAGTGGAAATCTGTGTTCAGTAACTTTCTGCATTGCATTGCAGGAAGTTTTGCCTGGACTGCTATAAAGCATTGAGGTTTCAGGGTTCAGGAAAGAACACAGCCCTGGAGATTTTCACCCTAAGTGCCCCCTCACAATCCCACCTGCCTTGCCTCTTGGTTTCCTCAGCGGACTCAGTTCTCTGTACAGCAGCAATGCTGCCAGCACTGCTCTTGCTCTACCTTAGATATACCTAGGGCACAACATCATAGTTTGGTATTGTATTTTCTGTGTTTCATTTTCATGTGAATTGCAGAGATAAGGATCTGATATCTGTGGAATGTGTAGAGTGATGCCAGGTCATGCTCTTCTCTGATAGCTGAAGCAATTGCACTGGCAACCGATGATTTAGCACAGAGCTTTGATAATCTGGTTTTCTTGCTCATTTCATGCAGCCTGTTCCATACTAATGCAGCAAATATGAAAAAAAAGTCATCAAAATATTTTTTTCCTTCTATTCCTTTTGGAATTAGCTATTGTAAGCATTAGGGTAACCCACTGAAGCAGAAATGCAGTGCCAGCATCTTTCAATTTTGGTTTAATATAAACTACAAATAATGGATTATACTTCTCTTCTGGACCTGGCATGTATCATTCAGAGTGCCCCAGAGTGGGAAAAAGCAATATGTTTTTCAATTGTATACATTTTGATGAATCCTTACCTTAGGCAGCTGAACTTGAAAATACCCATCCCACCCAAAGTCTTAGTTTGCTTTTATCTATCTAACTAACCTATCTATCTATCTTATCTATCTAATCTATCTATCATTATAGATAATATATAGATATATAGCTATAGATATATATCATTATAATTTTTTCAGCCACTTCTAAAATGCATCTGCCTCTGCCTGGCTGAACCAATTTGAGCTGTGTGTATGACTACAAGATGCACTTTAATGCGATGTAATTTCTGGGAAATTTTGAGTAGAAAATTATGGCTCTACTTTGTTGGACTCCTTATTATCCTCTCCTACTGCCATTTTTGAAATTTTTAAGAATTTCTCCTGCTGAGGACGTGAAAGCAAGTTTTGAGGTCCAAAAAATTGCAGTTCAGACTGGATAGGAACAATTTTCTGCTCATATACTGTGATTGTGAGTTGGGATTTGCCATTTTCCAAATGTTTGTACAGTGCAGTCTAGCACAACCAAGTCATGCACAGTTGGAGTTCTCCAGGCAGTGTTATAAAAACTAAAATATGAGGACAATTTCATCTGCAGACTATAAAGGGTGCATAGTGGAACAGTCCCTTCAGTGTAACACTGTAATCAGTACTCAGTTAATGGAAAAACATCAGTCCTGCAAGGAAAAATCTGCATTCACATGTACCCCATTCCACTGGCATGGCTGAATTTTGGTAAGGCAGGGTATTGTCCTTCTGTCAGTACATTTAATTAACTTCAGCTTTACTTTTGTTTCTGCAATGTACACTCAGTTAAATCATAAATACTGTTTTGTAACTTGATAGAACACTATGTAATGGTCCTTATCTTGTATCCCTTTTAGTCTGAATTTTTTTCACATTCTCTTCATAATTTTTAATGACAGCAACAATTTTTATTATACTGCTGAAACTTTTCCCAGGGTAGTTGTGTTTTTCATAAATAATATGTGATCTAGAAGTGAAACTGAAGCAAAAAGCTGCTAAATACACCATCTTCTGTAGCAATATATTTATGTAAAAAAAATCTTGGCCCTAATGAAAGGGATTGAAAGCTTCTTAAAGAGAAGACAGCCCCAAAATCTAAATCAAATGATGCACGAGGTAACTGAGCTTCCTGCAGCTTAGGGAAAGTTGCTCTAAATAGGAACATACAAAGCAAAATACAGGTGAAGGCAGAATGTATATCAGCTTGTATATCAGCTCTTCTTTCTTATGGAGATCAGCTGAATGTTTGTCTTGCTGTGTGTCTTTGTGCCCTTTGAAAACATTTCCAATTAACAGAGACTTCACATTTTGACCGCAAAATTTACTTGAATTCCAGTTTCAAGACAAAGAGAAGTGATGACCAAGAGCAAACTTGACCAGTCAGGACCTTTCTGCTCTTGGCTTTTCAGGACTTTAGAGAAACCATTTAGGCAACAAGTCTCACCAGGGGCAAACCTTATCCAAAGTTCAGGCCTTTTGTTGCTACAAACTTCAGAATATTGATCAAAGAAATCTTTTCTTGTGTTCCTGCACTGTGCTCCCAGCTGCTCTGGCATGTGAAGGAGCTGCATGGCAGAGACACCAGACACAAACGTGTGTGGGTGCTCCATTGCAGACAAAGATGGAAAAACCAAATTCCTGCCTCAGCACTGGAGCCTGAGCCAGTGTTAGGGAAGCTGTGGGCTGTGCCCTTCTGGCCTGGTTTTGGAGAAGCTCCTGGGATGAAGTGAAGCAGTGACATTACTGGCTGTGGTTTGCTCTGCCACTTTTTCCCATGAAAAGTGAGAGATTTTTGGGAAATTCAGGAAAGGAAGGGGAGAAACTGCTTTTCAGTCAGACGACTTGGACTCAGGTATTGACTACTGAGCACTCTTTTTTTCTCTGCATTTTTATCCCATATTGACTTCATAGGTGGCACAGAAGCCACTGGTAGTGCTATAAATCCTCTCATTTTCTACCTGAATTGTAAAGTTCAGTGATCAAATCTTTCAAAGCAGAATATATTTTACTGTGTGATGAACAGGGACAAGGTTCTCCAAGATACTTATGCATAGCATGATTCTATAAATTGAATAAAGATCACCTGGGAACTTGAATGACTCTTCTGTAGAGGATAGTACCTCTTAGATAGTAAAGTTTAGCTAATTAAGTTCTGTGTCTTGCCCTAATTTTACAGTTTCTTTGATTATTTCTTTTTAGCTCAGCAAAATTCACCAAAAATCCATGAAGGCTGGTGGGCTTATAAGGAGGTGGTCCAGGGAAGCTTTGTTCCTGGTAAGTGTAATTTTAAAATTTTAGCCTTTCTTAAATATCTTTTTCACTGGCATTAATATAGTTGGATTTGGGGAAGATATTTTGGGCTGATTTGTTTTCATTGCAAAGATTTTTAGTTGACAAGTACTCAACATCACATTATAGTGAAGCACAGAAAGATTCCTGTTAATCCATCATCCTAAAACAATGGCTGTTTTTCAGGGAAGAAATCACTTTAATAACATTTCTGGTTTCTCTCAGTAACACCAACAATGATGCTGCTTTGGGAGTGTATGTGTTCTGTGTGTAGAAAAGGGAAAGGGACTGAAAAGTATTTCTGTTAACTGGATGAAATAATTTATCTGTTGCAGCACTTTTAGTAATTGCATTTTTACAATTTTAGATTAGATTTTAGAGTAGATTAGGACAGTAACCCACTGCATGCAATTTTCATTGATTTTTGTTTAGTAAACAAACTATGAATGAAAAAAA